GGCCTAGTGGAAATGTTGCACGCGCTGACAGAACTTGGGATAGCCCAAAATCTGAGTTGGAGTTGGAGAAGAAACCTCAATTCTCTTTGTAGTTGACAGTGGGCTCCACTGCTCTTTAACATCGCAATGGAAATATAGCGCGAAAAGCTAATACACAGAATACTACGGACCAAAAAAAGATAACGATACACAACATTAAGGCACTAAGTAGAACGAACAAGGAATTGAAAGAATTGTATAATCACCCAGACGTTATCAGAATAATAAAATAACAAAGACTCAGATAGACTGGCCATGTTAAAGGACAAGCAAATCAAGAGGTGCAGGAAGGGAACAGGCCGCGACAGCTGGAGCCAGATTTTGAGATCAGCCAAGACCCACCCTGCGTTGTAGAGCCACAGAGAGAGAACGTGACTTAAACAATCCATAGATATTACAAAAATGGATTTTTGAAATAATATATAGAAAAGATTTCGGTAATTGTAGTGATGCTTTGTTTCGGGAGAGAGGGATATATACAATAAAAAAGATTTTATTGAAGTCAGTGGAACACAAGTACGAGATTAGAGGTCGACGTACATCACATGTTCAAAGATACGTACCAACGTACTTAAGTAGTTTTTTGGCACCGAGACTATATAAAAGGTTTCACGATCATATTGTATATTATAATTGCTTATTCAGCGCTTAGCTGAAACTGGATCACATTCTACTCTGTACCTGCTTATATTTTGTTTGAGGGACTAAAGCATGGACATGATTTGATGATGATGACAGATTTTTATGGATTCTCCTATTCTCCGAAATAAGATTTGATGTTTGGTTTCCATTACTATGTTTGGCAACTGCTGATGAGTTTATTTGTCGTAGCCTTAACATGTTCTCTGAGCCAAGTTGATATTTTTCGTCCCGTCTCTCCAGCGTGTTCTTTGTCGCATATGCATGAAATGCTGTATCTCAAACGAAATTACATTTATAACGGATCGAAGACATTTTTGGACGAGTGGCTAATCTGGTTTTAACGTTATAATTCTTAAAAACTTTCGATAAGTGGTCATTGATGTTTTGAATGAAAGGAACGACAACAGTGGCATGTGTGGGGTCGCTTTTGGACTCATTCTCTTTGAAAGGTTGAGGTGAAGTGTATTTTGCTGAGGAAAGCTTAATATGTTTAATGTGGGAATTATTACTATTCAGTGACTCGAGTTGAGATAATTTTATGACCCTGTAAAGAAAAGAGTTGATAACCTATGATTTTTGGCCGGATGGTCATGTAGCAATGCATTAAGGCATTAAGGTCTGTGTGCGTAGGTTTTCTGTAAACAGATAGGTGTAAAATGATAAGTTTGATTTTCTATTGACAAAAATATCTAAGAATGGGAGATTGTTATTTACAAATAATAAATTTATAAAGGTATAAACCAACGCAGGACGTAAATAGTATTACAGTAGTATGTGGAAGTTTCTTTAATTGCTGTTAAGAGTTGGATGCTTGATAGTAGCAGATAAACTCTCAAAGATCTGATGAACTTAAAATATTTAAGATAACTTTGCGTTTCTGGTTAATGTGTTTATCTATTGATCTTAATCTTGGTTTTCTTCAGATATTTAAATCATTTAAATTATAGTGTGTTCTGTTCATACCATTTGGCAATGGAATCAACATAACAAATTGGATGGGAATAAGCAATCAGATATACACTTATAAAATATATGTGTCCGCATAGATATAATTGTAGGACAACATAATTTTACCATATCCAGAGACAAACCATTTGGGATATAAATTTTCACCAAGATGCTACGCCTAATGTTCCATCAACCGTAACCTTGAGACATTCTGTATATTACAGCGTGCGTCGTCATGCAGCAGCGGAATTGTACTCGGATCGACGAATCTACTCGTGAAGGAGGCAATGTGACAACGTCGCTGTCAATTATTGGAGAACTAGGCTAGTGCGTCACGGTTCCTGCTACAGGAAGCAGTAGTAGTTGCATGAATGACTTGTTTCACCTCCAAAGTGAATGGAATCGCGCCAGCAGGATCGGATCCCTGCATGGGAGGAAGGAAATCCCGACGCACACTGGGGTAGTAACAATATAGAACTGAGTGTGCCCTGTACTTTAAATATACTTATAAACAACAAGTGGAACCAACATTTGTTTACTCTGCGTTATTAAGCACTTAAACACTAGGTTCCGATTTAAGATGGAGTAGTTACCTGCGGGTATGTTAAACATTATATTATTTGTCAAGAAGAGAAATTTAGTTCTATTTCCCTGAATTCACTTAGTTTCTATATATTTATTACTTATTCAAAAAACCAGTTTTTTATTGCAAAAACGTGCTTCTTTCTGAACAAAATAGAAAAACAAAATGGTCCAGTGTCTTAAAATTTTTGCAAAAAATTCTTATTTTTTCTTTCTTTCTTTATTTATTTCTTATTTAATAATCTTCAACATTATTGTTAGTTTTCCAAAAAGTTCATACAATTGCGCAAACATCCCGAATTTCATGTTACTATTGTAAATTATGTTGAATAAAAATATACAGAAACGAGTAACTCAAATTCACGGTTTTGTGGAAAACCGAGTGTCCCAGTAAGTAATGTCATGGAACCTTAGATCATAAATTAGTGTTATTTGGTAAATTCGGGATAATTTGACACCAATAACATTTTTTGAATATAATTTCTCTAACATTTTAAGTTAATAATAACTGTCGAAACTGCTTCTTTACGAAAGCAAAATATAATTTTTAGAATATGTTATCCTACATTATTGGAATTTGAAGCGACCTTGTAATATAGAATAGCTATTCTGGAAAATATAAAATATGGTAAGCTACAATTTATTGCAAATCTCTCTCCTGATAATATAAAGTTCTTCTCAAACTTCAATATAAAAATAGGCACTTCTATACCAAAAATACTTAACATCTACAACTACCTTAAAACGTACAGCATTAAATGTCATTGTGAGGTGAATACTATTAGAACAGTATTAACTTTAGGAATAATGTTGAGTGGTATTTATATTTTTGTCTAAAATCAAACAATTACAAGAAATCCAAAAGCTCTCGAGAATTTCGTAACTCCAGAAACAAGTCAATACTAATGTGGCTCATGTTTAGGCACAGTGCTTCCTATGTTACGGTGTCTTCTTCCGAACCTGCACTGGCAAGTAGTCTTCAAGGTCCGAGTAATAAAATAATCAACTAATCAATAAGTCAACCTTTACTCCACTGTTGCGTTGTTTTTGCCTGATCTGATGATAATCAGAGCTGATTGTTTTTTTAGAATAGATATGGTAAGCCTCTCGATATTATAATTACTAAACAGTAGTAAACACATCTCGGCATGGATCACAGCTATGACTTGCATTTTTTATTTCAAATTTTTATTACTTTTATACAACCATGTAAATTCAAGAGAAAAATCCTTCGTACGGCCCTGTTTTTCGGAATAATTTTCTAAAAAAATGGATGGTACTGTCTAAAAATGGAAGAATATGAGAATTTTCTAAAAGACGACAAAAAAATATGTACACGATTTGTAAGTAAATGTAAGACCTGGCTCGCCCTAGCTTAATTACTAGATAAAAGATAAAACCTTTCAGCTTACAAATAAAGTAATAGACCACTTAATTATGTTAATGTAAGCCACCAATAATTTTGTTTTCTGCATTCCTGCTGGACCATTTTCGTACCTTTTTTTAAGCTGCAAACCCAAAATCCGTTTAACTGTGAGCATTATCATTTACCCGCTCCCCGAAATGCATGAGGGTGTATCCATGTTATTTTGGTGTTGGTTTGATTATTTGTCCTTCGATTTTAATAGTGGAGGTTAAATTGCTCATTTTTGTTATGTATAATAACAATTTTGCTTTGGGCATGGAAAGATTACCAGATTTAAAATATAGAAACTTGTTTTTGAAAGTCTACCGACAGAAGTGGTAAAAAAAATGAAAACGGGGACGAATGTGTTTCGCAGTAATTTGTCAAGTCTGTTGTTAACGGCAATCTATTTTCAGAATTTGTTCTGTCATGGTAGGCGAGAATTTTTGAAAATAGACTGATTACGTTTCGACCTCATAATTCGAACGCTTAACGAACTTTTAAAATGACTCGAAGAAACGTCCTCTTAAAAGAGGCAATAATGAAACCGAGTAAATGGTTTGATCAACGTATCTTTCTCGCTTTTTGCTATATTTAACAGGGTGGACAATTTAAAGGTTGTATTGTAAACTTCAGTTTCCGATTAATTACGTATTTCAGTTTTTAAGACCTATACAAACCTTATTGAAATAAAAACTTATTTTGATAGCGGAATCCAAAATATTTGTAAATATAAAAAATAACAAAAAAAAACAACTTTAATACTTCACTTCACTTCACACATCCCAAAAGTAAAACTTTTTGAAACGCTTGTGTTTTGACTGCAATATTTCACAGCAGGTGAAGAGGTTAGAGCAACTCCTAACTATCCTTATTATAGGATAACCGATATTTATAAGAAGTTTATAAGAAATCTTAGCTTTTATAACAATACTTTTTAATTTTTATCCCAATTTGAGTCAGTAATGTTTAGAAAAATGAATAAGTTTAGAGAATATTTTACTAAAACAGATCAGCTTAAAACTTTTGGGGTTTTCTACAAACACAACACATATATGTTGTCTGTCAATTTCATCTCCCGAAAAAGTTTATGATGTTATTGAATCTTAGCAAAAGTGACTGAAGACTGTAAAGAAACTAGGCAAACTACAACTCATACAAATAAAACGACTACTAGTCAAATATTCTCCCAGGTTCCCAGTGACAACACCAACTTGACAAAAGCTGACGCTAGACGAAAATAGTGTAAAGCAAAGTAAAGCATGTAAATTGCAACATTGAAGGTTATAAAGGAATCTTAATGCTTGGTATCTTACTATGATTTTGATGAAGTTAAACAAGGATAAATATATAATTTAAGTTCAAAATGACTTCATCTTCTTACCTAGGAAAGCGGGGTTCATCTCCCAGTCCATATAGGCCCGCTACCGCTGCCATCTATGTTACGAAGAATGAAACAGCACGTCTCGTTCTCCATTACCACTCTTATGCATACCGGCCAAGCCAGCAGTGTTTTTGCAATCATCTGACTTTCCAGCTAGTAGACATCACTCTTTATTTACAACTATCAAGTGTCCCGAGTTAATAACATATATCTCGTAGTCGGTCTGCCTTGGGATGGTCTATATTTTGATGTGTGTGGTGGGGATATTTAAGATTTTTAAAGAGATATTGACGAATATATTTACAGGTTTACCAATCGTTGCTTTTTAATCTAAAATCTACATCCATATGAAAAGTTGTAAAGGGTATTATAAATTTTTATCCTATCTTACATGCTCTACTAAGTAGTAAGTAGAAAGACATTTTCAAAAAGTATGATTTAAACCTTAAAGCAATAATAATTTAATTACACCAAATGAAATTACCGAAAACGAGCTATTCCTCAACTTAATCTTTTCTACTAATAAGCTATATTTTGAAACATAATAAGCTATATTTTCAAACATGCAACGAATACTCGTTGAATGTTTGAAAATAATCTAAGTTTCAAAACCAGTGAACTCTTATGTCAAGTTATTGTACATCTTGTAGATGGCGCAATAAAGGGCAAAAACGTTGAAAGTGTTTTACTGACTTCTTCCAACAAATCTCAGTTTGTTAAAGGTTATTTTTATCACAATCCAACCCCTTTTCCAAATGAAATGAGCTGATTTTGTGCCAATTTGTACAAAAAAGAGATAGAGAGTAGTATCAAAAATGGGAGATTTCCTGCCCTAACGATAATCAAGCGATTTTAGATCAGGAATCCATCCACAAAAGAAAAAATTTAAAAACTTAAAAAATTTCAAACAAATTAATGACTTCCCCTGATTTATTAGGAATACCTAGACTTTTCCAGGTTTTCCAAGATTTCAGGTCGCTGAGAACCCTGTTTTCTTCTTCTTGATTCATTTATCTATTTTTGTTAGCTACAGCAAATTCTTCTATTCTTTTTGCTGTTCTGACAAGTGTCTGAATGTTGATCCTAGTCCATTCTCGTATACTTTTCATCCAAGACATCCTCCTGCCTATCTTCAATTTTACCTTTAACAATTTAGTGGTTAGTATTTATCATTTCATAAAATATGCCCAAAGCGTGTCAATTTCCTTTTCTTAATTATTCTTGGAAGCACAGTAATACAAATATTTTCAGCATAGGACGCATAAACCACATTTCAAAGGATCAATGTGATTTTCAGGGTTTAGAATTCCATTCCATGTAAGAATACAGATTAAATGTAGAATTTAACCATACGATATGTTTGGTGTTAATTCTACGTTACAAAAGAATTGCTTTATTTTGAGCCTGTTCGATTCTGACATTAACCTCGACATTCTGGTTCAAATCTACAGTAATCCAACACTTTCGCTTTCGCATTTCGCAATTTCGCTACTTGTATCACTTCCTTATTTAATTATGTGTTTGTTGGCCGATGTCCCTTCTTGTATTTTTAGTACTTCTTGCAGCGAAGCTGAGCTATCAGCTAATACAGCCATATCGTCGGCATAATTTACATTGTTGAAGATGCGACCGCCCTCATTGTTCCCCATCCATTTTTGATTCCAATACAGGTTTTCAATAATAATAATAATAATAATAATAATAATAATAATAATCAACTTTATTTCACATTGTGCCATAAATACATTACCTAAAAATAATATACCAAACACAAAGGAAATCCGCGTCAAAAAATGAAAAAGCACTAGATATTGTTATAAATTTCAATTACATCGTATTAATTAAACAATTATTTAAATATTACAGAAAAAATCTTCTATGGAGTAAGGCTCTAACTCTATAAATAACTTTTTTTATTGTGTATTTAAAGATTGTTAGATTTGCAATTCTTTTTGCCTCATTTGGTAATGCACATGTAATAAGGACTCCTTTCAGTTAACGTTAAACAGTGAATAGTGTAATTTACATTTAGGGTTCTGGTATTACATCTATGAAATATCTGTAGTTCGAAGTCCTTTCGATTTTTAAAAAAGAATATCAATGCTTCATCATCATACCTTCAGCCTTGAACACCCCTCTACAGCTCTCCCTAAATTGCATTTTTTTGACAGTGCGAAGAGTCCTCTTTTGAACCACGGTAGTTGACCACTACCCCCCAAAAGATAATTCCATACCTCATGCGCGACTGAAAGTTTGCAAAGTACATAATTTTTAAAGTTTGCTTATTCATATAATTTGCAACGACTCTAATTCCATAAGAAATTAAATTAAACTTATTTATCAGATAATCAATATGTTTAGACCAATCGAGAAATTCGTCAATTTGTAAACCTAAGAATTTAGTGCTATTTATATTACTAATATTTTCAATCCAAGTTTTTGAGCAATAGCTATGCAGTCTATACAGTCGTATGCTCTAGAAAGATCTAAGCACGTACCTAAAGCTATTCTTTCGCACTCAAAGTTTTTAAAATTGTTTTTATAAATTGAAATATTGCGGATTCTGTTGATTTATTAGCTACATAACCATGCTGATGATTGTTGAACATTTTATATTTATTAAAAAACTCTAAGAGTGCTTTGCAAATAGCCATCTGAAATATTTTAGAAAACCCAGGCAAAAGGCTAATTGGTCTGTAATTGGTAATTATTTCTGGACTTCCCTTTTTATAGAGCGGTTTTATTAAAGCTGTTTTAAGTTGGTCTGTTACAACGCCATTTTCAAAGGATTCATTAATTAAAAGACACAACACTTTACGAACATACAGGACAGAAATTTTCATTATACTGGTTGGAATCTCGTCTATTCCACTAATATGTTTATTTTTATTATTTTATTATATTTGTCCAGCAAAATGACAGATTTCATCTGGTGTTACCGGTGTTAAAACATGGACTGTGAATTTAGGGGAATTTTATTGGGAAAAGGCCTTTCTTCAATAATTCATTTACAACGTTCAACAGATATTCATTAAAATCATTTGAAATTTGATTTAGATCCCCACTCATACAACTGTTTTTACCCAAAATCTCATTGCATATTGACCACATGCATTTGGTTTTATTATCAGAAAACTTTAGCTTAATGTCATATGCCTGAGATCGTTCCGTTTACAAAAGATTATCATATTTTCGCTTAACAACTCTATGTTCTTGCTTATATCGAGCACTTTGTCTAGCCATAACTAACAAGATATCTAGTTTTCATTTACATTATTTAATCTCATCATTATCTTTATATGATTTTACACCACTAGCGTTTCCTATTGCTTTTTTAGGAAAGCATTGATCAAACGGTGTAGAGAAAAGATTCATAAAAGAGTTCCACTCATGATTGACATCATCTGTTTCTGTCATAATTACATCTTCCCACTTTTGTTTTTTTAGACAGTTTATAAAAGTTTGGTTATTTTTTTTCTGAAAAGATTCTTTTAAAATGAGCCGTATGTTGTTTAAAATTCTCTAAAGGTAATGTAATTTTCTGAGCAGTATGATCAGAAATGAAAGCGTCAAATACTAGAGTGTTTCCGCATTCACAATTCACAAAGATGTTGTCAATACAGCTTGCTATATGTGACGTTACCCTTGTGTTTTCAAAAACCGTAGGCAAAAAGTTAAATGAAGAAATTAATGAAATTAAGTTTAATTTGTGTTCATTTTCTCTAAGCGTATCTATGTTAAAATACCCCGCTATAACAATTTTTTTATTTTCCATAAAAATATCTAATAATTTTCATATTGTTCAAGTCTAGGCCTTTTTGCTTCAAGAAATCAAATCAAAAACATAGAATGTTGAACGATTGGTCTCGATATTTCTGTAATAGAATTAAAAGGATTATAAAGAATTTCTAAAACCAAATTGTTCGTCACCCATATCGTGTTCAGATTTTGGGTATATTCGATACTGAATTATTTTTAAAAAAATTTTAAGCATTAACGAACACAGGAGTTAACAAATTTTTTGGAATATTACCAATTCTAACTTTATTTACGAATATTGTGATCCTCATTTTTAGCGATTCATTTTTTTTTAATTCTATAGTCCTTTATATAGTTGATCTTATCTTTGTTTTTATGGTTTCCTTTCATACAAGATTTAATGTTTCTCTTGTGTGGTTTACAATGTTTCCTTTGATTTTGTTGTTTTTAAGTAGTGCGATGTTCATTTCGTTCTGTTAGTCTTTCTTATTTTCTTAGGTTATGTGACAATCAAATCTTACTAAAAGATTGTGACCATTGCTCATACATTAAAAATCAAAATCATTAAAAACATTAAAAATCTGATGGGACATATACTCACAGTAGAACTAGTGGACTCATCTAAAAATATAAAAAATAAAGGATGGGTCCTTCTGAGACTTAGAAGCGTTCTGTCAATCTTTAGGCATATCTACTCTGATTTGTCCAGGTTTTTAATTATGATAACCCATGTATACAAAAAATTGCGGAATAATATATTTATGACCTTTCGGGACCGCCCAGGTTGATTTTCGAGCAATAAAACATGTCGGACGGAACAAATCGTTTAAATTGCGAGAGTCCTCGCCTCAATAACTCAACGACAAAAAGGGACGTATCAATGCATAGGCCGTTGAGCGCGTACTGTATATCAGAACAACCGTTTCGCAAGATTAATGACTTTAATTACTAATCAGATCGATCGGTCGCTTTGAGCTAATTATCCTCACCCCAGACGCCGATTATCGATTCGCCCTTAAAGGGTTAACTGCTATGCAATAGTATACTCCTTTTACGACGCAGTGAGTGTCCGCTGAGTTTATTTATATTGATAAACTTCACAGGTCGTGGTAAATATAAAGGCTAAAATTAGATAATAGGTTTGTTCTGATATTAGTATCACTTAATGTTGGTCGGTTTCCTCGCTGAATACTCGTAAAAAAGAAAAAAAAAACAGAATAAAAATTAAGCCTTATCTGCAGGGTTTCTCGTTTATTGCAGGATGATACGTTTTTGCAGAACCTGTTTGCATTTTTGTGAGCAAGTAACAACTTCCTTGTTTTAAATAATTTTTGAAGTTAAACGTTAGTTTCTATCAAAAGAGCTTACTATCCAATTGCTACTGTGATGGGTCCATCAGGAATATTCAAATACTAAATGTTTACTACGGAAGAGCAAATGGAAATGCAGATTAATCACGACGGCTTTGTGTCGAGGTTT